CAAAACAGAGCTGGTATCCCCAAAACGGAACCGGCACCCCAAAACGGAACCGGCACCCCAAAACAGAGCTGGTATCCCCAAAACGGAACCGGCACACCAAAACGGAACCGGCACCCCAAAACGGAACCGGCACCCCCAAAACAGCCGGCACCCCAAAACGGGACCGGCACCCCAAAACAGAGCCGGCACTCCAAAACAGAGCCGGCACCCCAAAACGGAACCGGCATTCCAAAACGGAACCGGCACCCCCAAAACAGAGCCGGCACTCCAAAACAGAGCTGGTATCCCCAAAACGGGACCGGCACCCCCAAAACGGAACCGGCATTCCAAAACGGAACCGGCATCCCAAAACGGAACAGGCACCCCAAAACAGAGCCGGCACCCCCAAAACAGCCGGCACCCCCAAAGGAAGCCGGCACCCCCAAACCTAAAGCACCCCAAAGCTGCAGAGCCCCGCAGCACCCCGGGGCCCGAAGGAGCCCCGCACCCGCAGGAGCGCGGCGGGGACCGGGACGAGCACGGTGAGCGGCCCCAGCCCCGCTGCCATGGCCCGGCCGGACGGGAAGGGACGGGCCGGAGGAGCGGCCCGGGCGGAGGCCCGGTCCCGGTCCCGGTCCCGGTCCCGGTCCCGGTCCCGGTCCCGGTCCCGGTCCCGGTCCCGGTCCCGGTCCCGCCGGACGGAGCTGCGGCCGGCCGGGTCCTGCCCCTCCCGGCGGCAGCGCAGCCCCGGCCCGGCCCGGAGCCCTGGGGCGTTCCCACTGCCGAGGGACGTCCCCGTTCCCAGGGACATCCCCGTTCCCAAGGACATCCCCATTTCCAAAGGACATCCCCGTTCCCAGGGACATCCTCATTCCCAGGGACATCCCCGTTCCCAAGGACATCCCCATTTCCAATGGACATCCCCATTCCCAGGGACATCCCCGTTCCCAGGGACATCCCCATTCCCAGGGACATCCCCGTTCCCAAGGACATCCCCATTCCCAGGGACATCCTCATTTCCAAAGGACATCCCCATTCCCAGGGACATCCCCATTCCCAAGGACATCCTCATTTCCAAAGGACATCCCCATTCCCAGGGACATCCCCATTTCCAAAGGACATCCCCATTTCCAAAGGACATCCCCGTTCCCAGGGACATCCCCATTCCCAGGGAATTCCCACTCCCAAAGGACATTCCAAGGGACATTCCCACTGGCGCAGGACATCCCCATTCCCAGGGACATTTCCACTCCCGAAGGACATCCCCATTCCCACTCCTGAAGGACATTCCTAAGGGACATTCCCACTCCCAAAGGACATCCCCATTTCCACTCCCGAAGGACATCCCCATTCCCGAGGGACGTTCCCGCTGGCTCAGCCCCTCATTTGGAGCGTGGGGTCCCAGCAGAGCCCCCCAAGTGCCCCCAGACTCATTTCTGCACCTTCCCCCCGAGGACTGGGGGTGACCCCTGTGAAAAATGCAGATTATATCATTGTCTCTTCCCAAATATTGAAGTGCACGCTGTATGTGTTATGTTGGAAAGTTGTGCTGTATTAATCCCTTTTAAGCAGTGTTGTAAATAGAGTTTTTAGGCTATAGCGTAAGATTAAAATAGAAACTACGTGCGGTAAGATGCTTCTGGTAACTAGCTCAAAGAATGGAAAAGATAATCAAGAAATTCTTTGCATGGTCCTATCGGGACAGAGATAACAGCAACAGACACCGAGATCCCCAGAGAAGAATTATCGCCTCCTTATCGGGAAAGCTCAGACTCCCAGGAACCACGAAGGCTGATTTACAAGATGGGGAGCGGGAAACTAAAATTAAACAGAAACACCCTGGTGTGAAAGGAATGTTTGAATCATGTACGAAATATATGAATATCTAATAGGCTGTTGCTTTTAAGGGGTAATCCTGGCACCTGGATGTCCATAATTCTTTGCTTTTTATTGTCTCTTATTGTCCCAATTTTCATTACTATTTTCATTACTATTAAACTTCTAAATTTTTAATAGAAATTAATGGTGTTTTTCCCCCACCGGTGTTACACCAGAGGGAGTAAAAGTCCCCCCAGGAGGTTCCTGGTGCTCACCTGAGCCCAAAGGTGCATTCGAGCCCCTGAGCCCTCCTTTCCCTTCCTTCCTTCCTTCCTTCCTGCCTTCCTGCCTTCCTTCCTTCCTTCCTTCCT